CCGACACCAGGATGGGGACACCATGTGGCACAAAGCGGAGGCGGCCATCGCCGCAGGAAAACCCCTCGGGGGTCCCTCGGCTCCCCCTCCGCAGCCCCGCTGTCCCCTATCCCGCTGTCCCCTATCCCGCTGTCCCCTATCCCGCTGTCCCCGATCCCGCTGTCCCCGACCCCGCTGTCCCTGATCCCTCCGGGACCTCCTTACTCTTCTTGAGCTGTTTCTTTTTGGTTTTCCTGCAGATGCCGTTGACGCCGGGGACAGGTTTGATGTCGCTCTTGCTGACGGGCGGCGGGTGCAGGATGGGTTTGGGGGCGCGGGTCAGGCACACGGGCAGCCCGGCGGCGCACATGAGGATCCCCGTCATCCCTGCGCCGGGAAAGCTCCTGTCTGTCCGTCTGTCCGTCCTTCCCAGCCCCTGGCACTGCCCCAGCCCCGCTCCCCGCCCGCGGTGTCACCTCGCGGTGACATCCAGCCCCCGGCCGGACCCCCCTTACCTGCGAGRGCGGGATGGACGGGGCCGGTGCCGTTCAGGTTCTTCACCGGGAGCGCCGGGACCCTGCGGGACATGGGAGGGGAAGGGACTCAGCCGGGCTGGCGGGGCTGGCACTGTCCCCTCCCCGCATGGCACTGTCCCCTTCCCACATGGCACTGTCCCCTCCCCGCATGGCACTGTCCCCTCCCCGCATGTCACAGCCCCAGAGCAGCAGCATCCCCACGGGACACAGGGCAGGATGTCCCCTGGGAGCTGCTGGCACTGTCCCCAAGCGGTGTCCTCCCCGCAGGACACAGGGCAGGGTGTCYCCTGGRRGCTGCTGGCACTGTCCCYAAGYGGTGTCCTCCCCACGGGACACAGGGCCGGGTGTTCCCTCACCACTTTGGTGAGCCGCTGTCCCATCCCACGGGGCTGTCACCCAGTGCCACCTGTCCATCCCTGGGCACCCCATGGCATCAGGGACATCACTTCTCCTCGGGTCCCCAGGGTGGGGGACATCGTCAGGGTATCCCGATGGTGACACTCCGTGTACTACATCCCCGCAGGGACGTGCCACCACTCCTGTGCTCCCCAGGGACCGCCACCCTCCTGGGGCTGCCAGCAGCAGGTGGCACCGGTGTCACCGTGCCCAGGGCTGTGTGTGAGGCACGGGGACTCGGGGACTGGGGGATACTGGTGTGGATGGGGCATGGGCATCCCATGGGGGG